ATATACATATACATATATATAAACTATATATATATATATATATATACATATATATATCAATATATATATATACCTTATGTGAATAAAGCACAGTTTGTTTTGTGTGTGAGATAAAAGACCATCACCTACAGTAGAAACTCACTGGCTAATGTGGAGTTAAATAACAGCCCCTCCTCCACCCTTAAAAGAGACACCAGGCATTGATGGTATCTTAAAGCCATACATCATTCAATCAATAGAGATACTCAGTGGATTTCAGTGTACACTTTATTGAAACACACACTCCTCTGTAATGGCAGCAATGTATGAAAGAGGAAAATAAATAAAAACTTTATCAGTAGCCACTCCCAGCTAAAGGAACAGTTGACAAAGACTGGAAGACACCATTTGCCAAAGCCATCTCTCACTGTGTTGCTGCCTTATTGTCCCCCTCATATAGGCTATTTTATTATAGACTGTTTATATATATATATATATATATGTTAAAAGTTTATTTAGAAATCCTTGTTGTCCCAGGTCATGAAAAAAAAGCAGTTCTGCAGGTTTGGCAAGCAGATGAATGTGATTATAGTGCCAGATACCAATAAACAGATCATTTGCCTATACATAGGAACTAATATTATACATAATGCTAAAAACAATTTGTAGTTAGTGGCTTATTTAATCTTATCAAACTGTGTGGACCACGTGTTCTCTGACTCAATCACTTGCATGTGCTGCCCTAAATTAAAACATTTTTGTACCCCCTGCCATACTCTGATTCAGTTTTTGGTATTCTTGCCTCACCCCGAGATCCTGTTACACAAACAAGTCTAGTATGTTAATCAAAGGCACCACATGTGACACATTGAGGCCTCCCGCTCATTTCCTATTGTTCTGTGGCCACAAAGGCTCGGTGAAAGGCTATCAATCTGGAGAAGCAGTATGATGCCTCTGGATAATGAAATTGCCAAGAGATGTTGGTGCCTATCATAAGAAAGCACTGTGTGTGTGTGCAGCGGTGGCAGAAGAACTCACATCATTTACTGAAGTAAAGTTTGGAATTTCCCCATTGTGGGACTATTAAAGGAATATCCTAAAAGTAGAAATACCGCTCTGTATATACTCTGTCAAGTCAAAGTATTAATAGTGAAGAGTACATAAACTGTCAGAGAGTTATATTATTATTGGAATATTATTACTGATGTTTTAACACCACATTTTGTTACAGCTGGTGGAAGTGAAGCACATTTGAACTCCTTTATATACTGTTGGGTAGTTCAATCTATAGCACAGTATCATACTTTATAAATTAATTATATGTTTTCTTTGTTAAGTCTTCATCTGTCAAGTTACTCCGGCTGTCAGATAAATAGCAGAAAGTGCAGTACCTGGAGGTGGTTTGTGTTTAACCGGACAAATATTTATTTTTCTCATATATTATATTGAAGTTATTTAATTAGCATTCATTCTCTGTAGTGGTAATGACAGCAGCAAGTGGGCAAACATTGTTTACTTTTAACTGATTTAATTAACTTTGTCCTATTTGACTTTATGCTAATGTAATTTATCTTCCAAAATCCTGCAAACTCATTGTCTCACGTTGTTTCTTTCCAAAAGAAGAATACATGTAAGCATTCAGTAAATTCTAATTAAAGATAAAGTAGCATCTTTGAGTGCCTGAATGAATAATTATGTATTCAGTTAGACAGACACCCTGATAGGAACTGGATCAGTGAATGGGGAAAGGCTGTGGTGGCTTCTTTTTGTCTTGACGTGTCAGGAGCAGCTGACTGCATTGTTCTCCTTCAGATTCACAGCCTGGCTTCTTTCATAATCCTGGTGTCGCTCCTGAAAGACACTGATAATATATAATCTCCTTTCTCACCCCAAGCCGGTAATGTTTATTCAATGCAACCAGCTGTTGTGTTGTTGATCATCATCAGATACATTTTATCAGTCAGCAAAAGCATTCCTTTTCTGAGATCTGCACATGTTTGAAATGTTTTTTGCTTTCTTCCTGGGGAGAAATGGAGAACAGTGGGAGTGCCTTTGTTCTGCTGCTAGTCTGTAGAACCTTTCTTGACTTTTAAGTGTCTATACGGACAACAAAAGAATCAAAGAATATAATGTCAGAAGCCATTATTATATTACTCTTTAATGATATTTCCATATATTTTTTTTTACTTTTAAGTTGAATAGTGCTTGAATTAACTCATCTGTTTCTCTTATCATCAAAACCAGGACAAGCTAATATCGGTATAATGACTCTTCTGACCTTAATCTTCTGTCAGACATAAAAGTCTCAGAACATGTAAATATCTCATGTTTGACATTGGCAGATTAGGAGCACTACGCCTCAGTTTAGACAGATTTGCTCTGTATACAGGGTTAAAAAATATATTGTTTTCACTACAAAATCAGGATTATCATAGACCTCATCCTGCCAATCCTAAAGATACGTATGAGTCCGAGGTTCATCTAAAATGTTACGTATTCGGGATTCATGACCGAACCACAAATAACCCTGATTTTTAAATCAGAGAAATCCATTTTGACTAATATGTACCATTGTCACTCGGTTTCTGTCGCAGCATATTGCATTGTATTTTGTTGTGGGCACCCCTCTTTGAATGTATTTCTAATTTATTTATTCCAGTGCTGTTTGCTGTGTTTTTTACTTGCAACAGACTTTTCAAGAACCAAAAGATGTACAAAAAAAGTCTTAAACATCTTGTAATTTCCAGTGGGGGGGTTTTCTGTTAAAGTCAATGGTTTTTCTAAAAAAAACAGCTGACATTATCTTTTAGTTGAGGTTAAAACATGATCACATCACTGATTTGAATATCAAGCAAAAGTCTGAATATCACCCAACGGTAACATTCCAGTATTTGGAATGACATCAGGATTTGTAGCATCAAACTACAGACACCTTTTGTCCCTCCAGCAGGATGTAACATTCCCCTGAGAAGACTCACTTATAACCCTAAAAAGCATCTGCATCAGAGTGCCTTCCTAACACACACGTGTCTGCAAGACCTGCTGATTCACCCTTGGTTAAAGTGAGACTGTGCTGTATCACTACTAATGATCAGATCAGAATTGGTGATTACTGCATTTTCTCATTGGTCCCTGGAACTGTTTCACCCTGATGTTTCCCCACAGAACAGACCTGTTACTAGCGAGCAGTGCCGTGATGCACATTAGTGCTGACAGCAGGCCTCCTGTCAGGCCTCCCTTGTTCCACCCCCTCTGAGCTCAGTGCATTCACACAGTCACATGCATTGTCCTGGGATGAACTGCAGCAACATGGTGGGCAAGCAGATCTTGTGCAGTGTGTTCAGTCTTTTTGCTTCTGTTAAATTCATAGTCTATAATCACTTTTATTTTAATAAGCCACCCAGTTCAGTTTGGTCCGTGATTGAGCAGAAAGGGTTGACCAACCCTCGCTAAATTTGATTGCTTTCATTATTCTACGAAAAAGCCTTCTCTTTAAAAGCTTTAACACTTTTGGCACACTGCGTGTAAGGACATGCAGCTGTTCTCTTCGCCTACACCATTTATTTTGCCAGTACACCCATATGCATAAAAGACTGAGTGAATGTCTTAATACCAGCATAAAAAAAGTGAAGACAGGAACTGGTGGTGAGGTTCAGTGTGGGAACCATAAAGTTTTTCATTTTAAGACAACGTCAAGTGTTTCACAGGATTTTATGTTTGGTAATGAACATGAGCTCTTCCACCACCAGCGATTCTGTTGGCAAAAACGTCACACTGCATCTTAATTTGAAACAATCCTCAGGCGAAAAGACAGACAATGGACCACATGTCTTGTACAGTGCAAGAAATACTTCACTTTTTCTCCTTCAGTGCCAGGGCAATTACTTTGATGCACAATTTTAAATGATCACACCTATTATAGAGAGTAATGCAAGAGGAGTGTGTCTCATTGATAACAAAGGAGCAGTGTGAGTTATGCCTTGAGGGGCTGCGACTCATCACTTAATGGTGGGTGAATGGTGGGTCTGAGACATAACTATCTAAAACACATCCTTCCAGAGACTTCACACTCTGCTATCCATCATAGAAATTACATCATAAAAGGTAAAAGAAGATTTGAGGGCTTCCTTTACCTGAAATATACAATTCCTTAGATCTTGTTTTACATCTTTTATCTCTAAGGTGTCTCATGGAGTGTAAAAAAATGTCTAAATTAGTATTCAATAGTGATGTCAAGCAGTCATCTCTCTGTCACAGTTACAAATGATGGCCTGCGCTGTGCCGCGGTCAGTTTTCTGTCTGTGACTTTTCTGTCAGCGGTTTAAGTGAACACATAGATGAGTGAGACATACAGTATTTGCCTCTACACCCAACATAGCAAAGAGTGACTCACATGTCACACCTACTTTACATGAAGTAGCTCACTAGTTTGGTGTTTTAACATTATTTACATATAAAGGGTTTTGTTGTCATTGGTGGAAGAATGTAATGGATGTGTGAACTATGACAATGTCTCTGCCTCACTGATATATACATATCATGCCCCTAGCTGTTTATTCTGTATATGACTTACTTTTTCCATTACTTGTTATTTTGTATCTATTGGTTCATATTACATATATCTTAGCGTATTCATATCTACCCCTTACTGTTTATATGTACACTACTCTGGACTTTACTGCTTTATGTACTTTGCAATGGCAGTTGAGTCTAATCTAATTAATCATATTTACTTTTTGTCAAACTCGCTGAGTCACATATTTGCGCAGTTGCTGCAACACCCAGTTGTTGTAATGTTTCCTAACACCATTGTTGTTTATATTGATGAAGAATGAAGAAACGGTGAACATATTTATTGTCTTCAAGATAGCTGAAGTTACATATACATGCATACATACATATAGGCAAACAAAAGCGTGTTATTAATTGCACATATGCCAAACACAAATGACTAACACCATAAGACTTTCTTTAAATTACACGACACAAAGTGCTGCAATCAAATTAAAAACTAATCTACTGTGATTTATGACTACTGCAAAACGTACCACGAGGACACATTTGCACAGCGACACCATTTTGCCACCTCAGATGCATTTGTTAACATGAACACTTACAATCAGGTCCCCACAGAAGAGTAAAGATTGTGATTTTCCCATATGGCCCAGTACATAACTGTTAGGATATATGTATGTTAGCCTACATATAGCTTACATAAAGTTAAAAAATCTGTAAGTGCTGTTTGTTATATGATTTTTAACGTCATATAAATTGATACTTTTTTCAATATCATTTTATATTAACCTCTGCATTGCCACACCTGCATGATTCTTCTGGTATGAACTGTAAAAATAAAGCCTATGTATTTGTTTTCGACAGATTAATTGCTAAAAGCAAAGCATGATACTGTCTATTGCATAAGCCCAGTATGTCAGGTTGGAAGAACAGAGAGAAGTCACATTAAATGTCTGTAGAAAATGTTTCACACTCACATTGCTATACTTGTCAAGATATTTATATGACCAAAAAAATATATATATATCTCAACAACCTCACTTCTGACCATTTCAAATCACCACTAGTTTCACTACCTGCCCACTGTTCTTTTTTTCACAACTGTTCACTTGCTTTTATCCTCTCAGTCACTTTTCCATTCATATTGTAACTTCTAAACAGTAACAAAAACAAAAGACATTGTTAAAGTAATTCCATAGAGGTTGGAAAGGGAGATGAGAGAAAGATATATATAAAGATTGAGTAAGAGCAAGAAAGAGAGAGGGAGTCTGTACAAGGAAACAGAAAACTGTAGGTTTTGGTTTCATTTGGCCTTCTCAGCTGCTGGAGCAACAGCAACTGGCTCTGTCTGGACCCCGGCATCTGTAGAGTTACGTTTCTGACCCTAAAATTTAAAGGGGAAAAAACATAAATGTTTGTTTATTATTATTTTGTTTTATTATTATTATTACAATATCTACTGTGCTTATCTTTTCTTTAAATAGCTATGTCATTCATGCCTAATCTGAACTCATATCTAACCCATTAGATATTTATTTGCATTTGATTCAAGTTTCCTTTAAGCTCCAAGAATGCTAAATGTTGGGGTACAATTTCTTACTTGGTGTCTTTATTTTTTCCAAAAGAACCTCCATTTACCTACCACTTTCCTTTGTTTTATTGTTCATGAAACTGCATTACTTGCAACACCGCATATATGTCTTTTGGTTCAAGTCAAATTTATTAACTGTAAGTTATTAAAGCCAAACCATGCACAGCAATTCACAGGATGTGTAACATGATGGGCACTGCACTGTGAAATAGTGCACACGCCTTTAGTTACTTAATGAGTTTCTGCTGCCATCTAGTGGGCATATAGGTGCAATATATTGTACTATGCAGAGCCAGTCAAACTAACCCTGAATAAACAGTGGAAAAAGTGATGCACTCTTTACCAGAATTTTAAAGAACAGCTGGATGGAGTTCCTCTTCTCCAGTTTCTTGGGCACATTGGCTGCATCATCACCAGCCTGGGAGGCCACTGTAGCTGGTTTGCTATCCACAACCGCTTCTGATGACTTGGCTGCTGCTTTAGGTTCCTCCTTGGCTTTAACTGTCTGAGCTGCCTCTGCTGCTGCAGCCGGGGCAGGGGCGGCCTTCTTGGGATCAGCAGCCTGAAATTGTTGTGGTGCATAATGAAAAACTTAATTATTCCAGTCCCAGAGAAGCTGTGGATGCAGCATCTGTATCATTACATAACAATATCATATGTGCTCTACTCATTAGGCGCAGATGGACTTTGAGATGACATCAGGTGTAAAATTTTAAGTGAGATGTACCAGCTGTTAGGATCGAGTGTGTCTTGAAAGATGATCATAAAAGCGCTGATCTGTGTTGTTAAGATCTTCAAATATAATAAATGGCGAAAAATATGTCTGCCAAAAAACATGTTTTAGCACAGGTTTTAATACCAGATGTAACTGATGGAATTACTCTGGTTAATAATGTGTCTGTTTTCGAGAGGTACTTTTACTGTATTTACCACTCCAGTTGTTCTCCTGAGGAGCCGAACTCCACTTGTGGAGGCTGCTTGGACTTTTGTTGTCATGTGGTCTAACAGTTCCTCAAATTAACATTAATCTGTTACTTTCTATTTAGTGATTTCATCACAATACATACATAACATTTTCTGATATTTTAAAGACTCATTAAGGCTTAAATGAATACTTACTTTAGGCTTGAAGAAAGACAGGAAGGAGGATTTTGAGGCTGTTTTCTTCTCTTCCTGAACAGGCGGTGGTGGTTCTGGCTTTGGAGCAGCCTCCAAGGTGCTGGTTTTTGAGGGATCCACCTTCTTTTATCAAAAAAGAAGAAAAAACATCACATGAGCTATTTACAAATTAAAGGCCTGACCATGATTGAAGCTGACAGAGTGAAGGGAGGAACTGCCGCCTGTGAAGTGAAAGAGGTCAAAGGGGGAAGAAAAATCCAGGATCAGAGCAGAAAAGGAGGCAGAGGAATCTGATAAGAACCTGTCCCTGTAAGAATAAAGAAGCCCACACCGTCATGCACAAAAGTAAAGAATGTTTTTGTCTGTAAAAGAAAGTGAGAAAGGGAATGTTCCTTTAGTGAAGAGTGTCCTCCTTGAGAGGAATAGTTCAGCACTATATGTATCAATATGCTTTATATTAAATCTAAAAAAATTAAATATTTTCTTTCTTGCCAAGAGATGAAACAACTGATACCAATTTCATATGCGTCAAATATGGTGAAATGGTTAGCTTAGCTTAGCAGAAAGAATGGAAACAGAGGGAAACAGCTACCATGGCTCTGTCTGAAAGTCATGAAACCTTTGTATTCAACATTTTATATCCTGTTTGTCTAATCCATACCAATCCAAAGTGGAAAGCAAAAACAAAAAGTAGTGGTTTTATGGGATGTAACTTGTTATATTTTAATTAAAATGTTAATTAGTGGGCTTTACAGGTGCTAGTAGGCGGATTTTGTTCCCCTTGGCTAGCCAAGCTAGCTGTTTCCCCCTGATTCTCAAAGACGTATATAGTATAGTCTTTATGTTAAGCTAAACTAAGCTTAACTCATACTTAACAGACAGATATGAGAGTGGAATTGATCTGATCTACATAACTCTCTGCAATAAAGAGTATTTCTCAACATGTCAAACTCCTTTAATTTACCTCAGCTTCTACCACTGGCTGTGGTACCTCTTCCACCATCTGTGGGGAAGGAACAATTATTTGTTTTCCAATCAGTTCAAATGCTGTATGAAATGCATTAAATCACGGGCTGACTTATCTGTATCACAATGTGAATTAATCAACGAAAACATGAAAAAAGTAGCTGGGTTTTTTTAAACAGCAAATGCCAAATTTTATGTGTGTTAACTGAAATGAATGAAAGATTATATTTGGTTCAACATCATAATTGGTACATCTGGTATAACATCATGTCAGAGGCGCCTGTAGAGTGAAGAGAATTAAGAATTAATATTCCTGAGCACTTCCTGCTGATTTACCTGCTCTTCTACAACTGGCTGTGCCACCTCCTCTGGCGTCTCATGAGGTTCAACATTATTTTCACTCTGAGTGGATGCAAATGAATCAGAATGTAAAATAAATAAATAAACCTATGCAATTTAGAACATGGAGATGTGATATAATCAGAGAATCTGAAGATTATTCCACTCCCTAAGAAAGACCCCAAGACTGAAAGCTCTCCTTTGATTTACCTGGACTTCTACTGGCACTGGTGTCTCCTGCAGAGAAAAACGACTTTTTTATTCTGAAGAGATGCAAATGAACATGTGCATGTGATATTGCTGTAATTTGCTGTGTATAGCACTGTATCTGTTATGAACATTCTTAAAAGATGATTCAAAGTATGATCCACTGTGCTAGTGAGAGATTTGCTGAAGTCCTGAGGGCTCAGAGTAGAATACATTAATATAACATTCCCTGAATGCAACTGAGAAGATTGAGCATTACTCTCTTGTTTACCTGTACTTGTACAACTGGTTGTACTTCTACCGCTGGCTGAGGTGCCTCCTTGATTGTCTGCAGGACAGTGAAGGAATTATTATTGTTAGTTTAAGCCAGCAAGACAGAAAGGAAATGTCCTTATAAAGAGAGGGAAGGTTTTAGTGATACAATGCTTAATATGTTAGTGTGGCAATGGTGACTAATGTGAACTGGTTAAAGTTGATAGTTTGACATTTTGGGAAACATTTATGCAATTTATTGTCAAGAGTTAGATGAGAAGACCAATACCACTCTTATACCTGTGAGTATGTAGTATGGAGCTCAAGCCAAGAGGTGATTAGCTTAGCTTAGCATAAAGACTGGAAACAGGGGAAAACAGCTAGCCTTAACTAAACAGATTAAACCTACAGTGAGCTGTAGGGGTGCTGGTACTGCAGGCATATTTGTGTATTTTGGCCAGAGCCAGGCTTGCTGTTTTTTCTAGTCTTTATGCTAAGCTAAGCTGAGTGTCTCCTGGCTCTAGCTGTGCACAGACAAAAGAGTGGTATTGTTCTTCCCATCTAGACAAGAAAGCAATAAAGTGTATTTCCTAAAATGTTGAGCTATTTTTTTGATTAAATGAATCACTAATGCTGTTTTAATGTTGGGAATATAATGCATCATGGAAATATGGACTGTGGTAGAAACAGTGGTGCTCATATGAGTCATTTTTCCAGGGAACCAAAGTCAACACTAGTATTGCTCTAACTGAGACATCACATTTTTTAAAGAGAACTACAGAAACCTGATTCTCCTTAATGAGCTTCAATACCGGCCAAATACGTCCTTACACAGGTCCACTTTGGAAACAGCAAATTGTTCAGTTTCTGCCACCTCCAGACAAATCAGCTCTTGTTCAGTTAGTAACAGGATGAGCCATGGTCAGTTTCAGAATATGATAATCTACTGTACCACTGCTGCAGTCTTGGCCGGTGCATTGGCTCCACTTGCTGAAGCACCTTTGCCTTTGGATGCCATGACACCTAGCAGTACCTCAAATTCACATACAGTATGTTTCACACTATGTTACAATCTGACACACTTCGGAACATAAACTCACATAAGGTCTACCACCCCTGTAAATAATGATCTCATCTTACGGTCCGTACAGTTTGCTATTTATTTACCTTTGAATGGAAGAATTTCCTCAGAGTATCTTTGGCTGATGTTCCTTTTGAGGGCCCGGGTTCCTTTGCAGCAGCTTTTGGTTCTTCTTTTGGTGTGGGTTTTACAGGTTTGGCAGCTGGCTCTCCTTTGATTTCCATTTTTGGTGGTTCTGGAGGAGGTGGTGGTGGGATAGACATTCCTTTGGGTGCTGCAGGCGGCTCAGATACTTGTGCAACCTATTTGAGAGAGCGTGTGTTAAAATAATGGTTTACAATGAAAAACCATAGGAAACTGTCCACACAGTCACCTTTAACAGCAAATACATTTTCAGACACAATGACAGTTTTAGGTGATGTGTGAAGATAAATGCAAAGCAGGGATTGAGTTTCCGTCCAACATAAACTATTACAAATTGAATTAGTATGTAAAATCCAACATTAGCAAATAAAGGGGCATTTATGGAAGCTAATTGAACCCAACTGTGTCCAGTAAATCAGTAAATATATCCTTTCTAGCGAACTGCAAGATCTGTTATACAAATTAAAAGACTTTATGGGCAGTGTGCTCACAGTAATAGTTGCTGCTGGTTGGGTCTCCTTTGGGGACTGTTTGGCAACAGAAAAAGGAAGCAGTTAGAGAGATAAAGTTAAACTGAAGCAAACAAATATCTGCAAAAAGCTTGTATACAGGTCCTTGAAATAATATATACCTTTTTGGAATCAAGCTTATATTCAATTAAAAAAGTAGAAATTAACAGAAAGGGATACCAGCTAACAACCTACAAAAACTTTATTCTCTATTTTCCCCAGTGGTCAATATATAGTCAAGTAGTTAAATAGTCAACCCCTAACATTACTGTGTTCTCTGATACAGTTTTATATAATTATATATATATATGTTATTAAAAATTGAAAGAAAAAAAACATTATAAACAAACCCACTTGGTACTGTCATTTCATATTTTAACACGTTTTATGTGTGATGTAATACTTCATCAGCATCTGTTCACCTGATCTTTTGTGGCATCGGGAGTAGCTGTTTCCTTTTTGGTTGTTTTAGTGGGAGTCACCTGTGCAACAAGGGAAGAACAATGAACTGTCTTCAATAACGGTTATTCATGCCACATTTTGCATAGAAATTAAGAGCAAAAAGAAAAAGCCTATCCCTCAGATGTTAAATGTGCATGCATTGTGTTATTTCATATAACTGGCAATGACGCTGCAGTGCCAAACGTTCAGAATCAGCCTATATATAGCTGATGTAACAGGCACAGAAAAATAATTATTTCGATAAAACAGAAGCCCTTCATGAATGCAGACATAGGCCTTTATGATAAGCTAACTGAGGCACAGAGTGCACACTGAGGTCCCTGACAGAGCACATACAGTACATGCGCTGTCATTGTGACAGCCATTGTGCTCCGGAGATGGCGTAGGCCTGCCCTCGCTCTATCTTCACAAATCTCAACTTCCAACTGCACAGGCCTCCCTTGTGAGCTCACACTATGGGTTGAACAATAGGCCACCACATTCCCGCATGTTCAAAGACTTGATTAGCATGGGGCTAGGGCATTGGTAACTCTTTAAAACGGCATGAATCCAAAAGACAGCACGATGAAGAGGAAATACAATAGTTGCTTGTTGTAGCTTTTCCATCAGGCTCTGTCATAATGGCAGATTTTAGTTATGGATACCGTTACTGCCATAAAACATCCTTTTTACATACCTCAACAGAAATATGCACAATCACACACACACCAATTAAATTTAAACACCTCAAATCTATCGTTGAATTTATTATCACCAATTTCCACTTTATCAGGTAAATTATGTCTCGGCTTCTTTAAGTAAAAATTAGAAGATACATTAACTTAATTTTTGTTGTTGGAGCAGCTGTTTGCCTTCAGTAATAGCTGGAGATAACAAGGGTGCATTTGTTTTTGTATGTTCAATTACAATTCTTCAATAATTTTTTCCCAAGCAGTCTAATTTTACAAGAGAAGCAATTAGAAACATTAAGTGAACGTAAACCATACTTAATTTCTCAAATTGTGTCACTTACTAGTGTTTTGAAGAAGTTCATAACTGGATTCTCTTCTGGGTTACTGTCCTCTTGGTTTTCCACAGGCTGACTGTTTCCGTTGTCAGTTTCAGGAGCTTTTTCTTCCTCTGGACCCGGGTCAAGAGTCACACTTTCTGGCTCCGTTAATGATTCAGATTCTTGCTTTAGGTTAGCTGTCTCCTATACACCACACATCACAAAGAATTGGCCTTTGAGAAATATGTTAGAGCAGCGGAGCTGATATGCAAGCAGTGAGTGTCTTAATCGCAGCATTGAGATGGGAGCACAATTCCAACCATGCCTCTGCCTACTCGGGGCATTGTCAACAATCACCCTTTTATTAATGTGTGTGTCCCACCCCTCACTCATTGATATTCAACAATGTGTGAGAGTTATGTCCTGAGAAATGTCAGGAAACTCAAATACCTTGCTGTGTCTTGATGGTGAGTATCTTTAAACTGAGCAACCATGGTTTTTAGATCATTTTAGTTAATCTGTTCATTTCAGTTTTGCTTCAGTGTGGCCTGATTAAAATGTCACATTCTTTTTTTATTCTCTACTAAACACTGAGTAGAAATGTGTGCAAAATCTTGAATGAATAAGACATTTTAGTGTTTTCATTTGTCATTTTATTGGAAAATGTTTCAATACTTTACAATGTGAGCTTTGTGGTGATGATATATACAAACAGAGGCAATTTCCATTATTATAAAATATCATTTTTTACAATCTAATTGCAACTACTAACACATACCAATAAACACATGATATCCTAAAGAGGTAGACCAATATATTTTAGAAACAAAAACAATGTTCATTCCACATTTTACTGCTGTTCTGTCTTTGGAGTCACATGAATGGTAACATTAATACTGTATCCCAGCGAAGACATATTTAAACCCCCAAGCCTATATGCTGATTCTAGAACAACTGATGTACAAGCTGACTGCATCCTAACAAGTAAAGCTTCCATGTCTTCAACAGTTTCTGCATTTTGCGTTGAATCTGTTGAGTTCAAAACTTGATTCGTGCTCTTCCTTCTCTTCATGCTCTCCCTCTGCGATGATCTTTGGAGCTACCGCCTCTGAAGTCACAAGGTCACATCCAGTCGCAACATCTACCGTAATGTTTTCTTCTACAATGGTCTCCAGAACAGCTTGAACACACTCTGCCACAGCCTCATCTGAAGTGACAATTTGGCAATCTTCAGAGTTCTCCTCAATGGCAGCTGAAACGTCTCTAGAATTATGTGTTTCATGTATTATCTCTTCTGTAGCTTCATCCTCAGGTGTCTCAAGGATTACCACCAGCACCTGTGGCTCAAGAAGACTTGCACTCTCCTCCACAGGCTCCTCAGAAATGACAGGATTGAAATCAGTTGGTTCTTCCACAGTGACCACAGCTGTTTCTTTATCAGCATCTTCCAACCGCTCTTCAGATGGGACGACGTTCTGCTCTACAAGTTCCTTTTGGACAAAAACGCAAGACTCAGACTCTTCTGTAGCATCCATTGGTGGTACATCAAATTCGTTTAATAAAGCATTTATGGCTTCTTCATTCATCTCCTGAGCCAGTGCCTCAGGTTTAGCGGTTTCAATCAGCACTACATCAGCTGACATGTCTCGGGCTCCTTCACCATGGTCTTCAGTAATTACTTCATCTATACTTGGGTCAGACGTGTTTACAGCAGCAAAGTCAGTGGATTCAGAAACAGCAGTGAAAACCACATCAATACAATCTGCCACCACTTTCGGATGGCTGAAAGGGACCTCCAATGGCACAGTTTCCTCTGCGACTATTTGACCATCTATGATGGATTTGTTTGGGTTACATTCTGGCTCTGCAGCAATCTCTGGCTCTGTTTCTTAACATTTTCTCCCTCAGGAACGCAGTTTTTGATGGGGCTGATTTCAAAATTGTCAGTAAATTCCACCCGCTCTCTTGTGGCATCCATTGGTGGTACATCAAATTTGTTTAATAACGCCTCTATGACTCATTCATCTCCTCTGCCAGTGTCTTAATTGGCTCCTGTGCTATGATAAGACTTGCTTCTTGTTCTCCAGAAAGGGGCACAAAAGTTGTTGCAGAGATCACCTCTTCTCCCAGTAGGATGCCATTATCCACTGCAGGCTCTTGAGGACCGATGGCACTAAGTTCAAATTCTTGAGAGAGGGCCTCAATTGCTGCCTCTGGTATTACCTCAGCATTGTCCTTGACAATGACGGGACTTGGTTCTGCTTCTTTAACTGTTTCTGGTCCAACATCAGCTCTCAGATCTTCACTAACCTCAGCTTTCTCATCTGTAGTAATAATGTCTTCAGGCTTGACTTCATCATCAGGGAAATTTAAAGTATCTTCAATTAGTTCCTCAATGGTGATAAGCTCACTGGAAGGAGCCTCCACAATGATAATTTCTTCACTTATTCCTGCTACATCCTGGACGGCAACAACATCATCAGCGGTGACCTCATCATAGGCAGATTCCACCTTGACTGTAACTTCTGCCACAGGAGGGACAAAAAGTTCTTCTACAGGCATGTCTTGGTTTGCAGGTGTTTGATTTGGCTCCTCGTGAACAACCTCTGAGATTGTTTCCATCACCACAGTCACAGGCTCTTCGTCTAGGGAAGGAACGCCATTTGTTTCCCTAGCCTTGGGAGTGATAGCATTAGACTCAGGTTCAGCACTTTCAATCAGCACTACATCAGCTGACATGTCTCTGGCTCCTTCACCATGGTCTTCAGTAATTACTTCATCTACACTTGGGGCAGACGTTTTTACAGCAGCAAAGTCAGTGGATTCAGAAACAGCAGTGAAAACCACCTCAATACAATCTGCCACCATTTTCGGAAGGCTGAAAGCGACCTCCAATGGCACAGTTTTCTCTGCGAATATTTCACCATCTATGATGGATTTGTTTGGGTCACATTCTGGTTCTGCAGCAATCTCTGGCTCTGTTTCTTTAACGTTTTCTCCCTCGGGAACGCAGTTTTTGATGGGGCTGATTTCAAAATTGTCAGTAACTTCCACCCTCTCCGCTCTGAACACTATATTCTCATACACACTGGTCTCCATGATGAACACCTCTTCACTGATTATCCCAGATGTCTGGTTGTCTAAAGGTTCTTCATTGGCAGTCTCTTCCACAACCTCTTCAGCAATGACAACAGCAGATTTATTCAGTAAATCTTCTTCAGCTGCTGCTGCCTCAATCACGAATACCTCTTCCACTGGGCACTGAGTATTAGTGGTTGTAACGTCATCATCATAGCCAGTTTGCGTTGAAATATCTGTTTCAGTTTTTCTTTCCGTCTGCGTTGATATTTCAGCTTTTTGTCGCTCAGCGATGATTATGGTAGCAGCTTCGTCTCCACTTGGGCCCGACTCCTTTATCATGAAAATCAACATTTATGTTTAGATAAAATACAGCTGTTTTTTGTTTCTGGGACACATATGACAACCATGTGCATGATCACACCGTGACTGAGAAAAGTAAAAACCACTCTACCTTTTAATGCCATGTAGCACAACAGTCCTACAGTTGATTACAGTGGTAATTCTTGAAGTTGTAGCTAGTTTTGTTGTTGTATTGACTGCATTATATTACAAGGTGTTTCTAGTTTTTTCTGCTCCATATATTAAAAAGGAAAGGATCATAAACAACTTTCAATATAATGATGTCCAATACTAAACCAACAAAGCTTCAAAACAACATAGAAATAAATTCATTGAACTAACAACAACTTAAGATTTTTAAGTAAGGTCATATTTATTGCAGGGCATTACATCGTACAGATGTTTGGGTTTTAATTTGGTCTCTCAGTGATGTAATTGTTTCATGATTACAGGAATTATATCTTTCTCTTTTTGCTAAATGTTTTTGGAATGGTTTATACTGCTAAGGAAATCTCATCCAAATCTAAGTGATTTCAGGTAGATTGTTTTAGAATTAGAGCAACACATTAAAGGATAAGACTGGCATTATATCTGCGTTACTGTCAACAAATCACATGAAAAGAACCAAAACCCTCAGTTCATTATTCCTTTTCTCAATAATATTATAATATATAATAATAATATATAAATATTTTTAAAAAAAGGCTTGATAAGAGCTTGGAAGTTTTTAGCAAACATTGCCCATATTCATCATATTGAAGGAAAATGTGCAACAGTGTGGCTCACCTTTTATTTTGAATACCTTTTATTTATAATATTTATTTATTTGTAATATTTTAAGTAATATCAGACTTTGGTGACACATGCAACACCTGTTGGTAGGATCAATTCTTTGTTTTGTTTTTGTCTTTTCATGGGATTTGTTGACAATAATAAAAATTGTAGCATATTACCAGACTTATCTTTTATAAATGAACATGAAAAGCTTACTCACCCGCTGTGGATCAGTGGCAGGGACACTTACGTCCGTTTGATCTTCATTTGAGGTCTCTTTTTCTTTAACGCTCTCGACATCAGCTGGGGGTTCTGCTTTCATTTTGAACATTTTGCCAAACAGAGGAACTTTTTCTCCTTTACTTTTCTTGACCTCTTTCTTCTGGACGGAGGCTTCAAGGATTTCAGTAATAACTGGAGCATCCACATGATTACTGTCGGATTCGACTATCACATATTCACGCTCAGTCGATTCTGTGGCAAAGTTTAAATTGAGGGGCCCGCCATTTTTCTGGACTACGGTCTCACTATTAACTGCAAAACAAGAAGAATCCATTATTAAAATGTAAACAAAGTGCCCCATGCACCATAAAATTTGAATCTGCTATCACCAAACTGACTGACAACTCTTTTATTACACAAACAAATGGAATTGCTATTGCTTTGAATTGCTAGTTTTCGTTTATAGGTCAAATTATATAGGAATATATGTTCTTTATATTGTAAAAATGCATCTGGTTGTAACTTTAAATAAGATCTGATTTCTGTAATGCGAAGTCTGTGCTGCAATAATTGATCTTATCTAACAACTTATGTGAGACTGATCAATATGCTTTTCCAAAGAAGTTCACAGATGTTACTACTACTGGATATCAATGCTGATTTTAATGTTTAGGTCTTTCCACTTGTGCATTGCTCCATGAAGTAAACATGGGCAAGTCAATGCGAGAAAGTAATATTATCTTTATCACCAGCGTCAACACTAACTCTTAGACAAACTGAAGCGTCAGTGGGAATCATCCACCATTATTTCCACTGCATGACAGGAGACAAACCACAACATGACAGGTTAAACAGTTGCTCCTTGCCAATGTCCGAGACTACGCCTATAGTTTACACTGGAAGACTCAAGACATAGTCCAGCTGGGAGTCACAGTGTTTACAGAGCTTTGGAAGAGTCCAAAGGACTGATCCTACATAGATATACAAAGATCAGCTGATTTTGTCTGGCAGCGACTGACAATTTTTCCCATACAGTAGGAAACAATAAAACAAACAACAGTAAAAATAGGTAAAATCATCCTCGGATTCTCCAGATTTGGAGAAAAGAATTTTATAGTGACACTGTGTCTATATTATTTTGCGTTGGCATTTGTATATCGCATATTACCACCATGTTATTTTAAAGTTAAGTCATTCTTCCCTGTTATTTATCTTAACAAGAAGAAGTGAAAAAATCGCACTCACCACCACCAATCTCCAGCCCATTAGATGTGATGCTTGCAGAAATGCCATTCACTGATCCATTTTCATGCTTCTCAGGAATTTTCCCATTCTATAAAAGATAATGAGGGAATATTAGTTTACGTTGCACAGTTTCCAAGAAATGATTTACAGTTGGTTACACATCAACAGACACACTGTAAACTGAACAATCCAGCATCTTACATCGATTCAGAGGCAACAAAGTTATACACACGACAGTTATATTATATTATATTACAGGTTTCTTGTGTAATTTGTATCATTTGATTTTACCTTGGTTAGCTGTTTGCTTTGGGAATTCTCGTTTCCCATTTTTCCCAGTTGAAATCTTCACAAGCTTTTTAGCTCAGATTCAACTGAAATAAATCAAATATAAAAAAAACAACAGAAATAGTTTGGTTAAGTTACATTACCAGCACAGATACTCTCCAAATAATGACTGACTTATTTAAAATGGTCACAAACTTGTAGGAACTGCAGTATCATTAAAATATCTTACCTTGTTAAACTTCTCCAAGTCAACCAAGTGATAATCTCCTGAAGAAAAAAAATTTGGAAAGTGTCTGTGTCAGAGAGGTGTATTTGCTGCTCCTGCCCAACTGTGCATATAGGCTTTTGTTAACAGGGTATTTTATGTGTGCTTTAAATGGGTGGGACTATTTTTAAGTAATCAATTGGATTTCCTCCAGTGAAAAAGCCCGCCATCCGCCCAACAGAGTGTTGGTGCTTATTAGGAAAGGCACATGATTAGCTCATAATAATCTCTCTGTGAAATCCTCTGAAAATAGCCCGACGACATCAGAATGGGGTTAAACTCGATGACACTATGATAAGGTAGTGCATGGCACCAATGTTGACAAATGTAGCTGGGAAGAGACATGGATGTATCAAGAAACAGGATGTGTATTAAGGATATTGGCCTAGTGCACTTCCACACTATCAAAACAAATATAAATATGTTTGCACTTGCAACCCTGTTGTATTAACATGCTTATTTTGGTTTTCAGAAAGAAAAAAGAGAATTTAGAAGAAAAAAACATAGCATGTTATCATTTAGGTCATTCTGATCAGGATTTTTTTTAAAGATTTAGATTCCGTATTTGTTTGTAATAAAACCATTAAAAAAAAATGGTGCCTTAAAATATCAACTGTATTGCTTTGATATTATTTATAAAGTTGCAAAGAGCAAGTATCTGCTTCACTATCACAGTTAATCAACACATACAAAGAGCTTTGTAATGAAATCATCTCTCTTTAAAGACTTCCACATAGTCATGTTTACGTGTCTCTGAGGGCCCGTCAATATGTCAATACACACAGACCAATCTAAGAGACGTTCAGGGATCAGACAAACTGACTTTAGTTCATCATCTGATTTCTTCCTTCTTTTATTATTCTCATCTTTATGTTTTGTTTGGTGCTTCTGTGAGTAAATGTGCCACGATCATTTTGATTAAAGCTCCTTAACACTCATTTCTTTTACTCTTTACAACCTCTAAGAATGCAAGCCTTTTTATGCAAATCAGTCAAAGTGTCTGAAAGTGTTTTACCACAAACAACTGCAAAGTAAAACCGTGTTTAAAAACTTAAAATGTGCAGTATTTATTGAATTTATTATGACAAGGCTTGGAATCCATGAACACAATGTCCCAATTGTAGCCTATAGCCTGCACATTGAGGTGGGAGTTGGATTCCCCTGTCTGGACTGCGCACTTCTGACTTCATGCAAGGCTTGCAGCTGAGAGACCTCAAGCAAACTCTTTATGGTGTACCAACGCATGGCGGCCCACTAGTTTTATTAATGGCAATGGGCCTTACAAATACTGGCTTTAAGACTAGCTGGAAGAAACTGTGCATCAGGAGTTATTCAAGATTATTATTTGTCCATGTAGCATAATATCAGTATTATCTATCTTTGATGCGGCACACTTTCTTTGATTCACTGGCATCTTCTGTAGCTATAGTCTGAATTGGATTATTGGAGCTCTAGCTTTGCAGATGTATGTAAATATTTGAACTTGGGTGCAGTTACTGTTTGCTGTTGAAATATTTACAGAGCAGCAGTTCCGGTTTGATACAATGAGTAGGTAGTTTGACCTATTTGTAACCAAGTGTGCACATTTCTTCAGATAATTAATAAAATCGTCTGAACTCTCATGGTGAAATAGATAAAACGTGTTAGTGAGTGTTTAGCTCAGAGACATGTTTGATGCCATTTTAGATCACCTTGATTTAAAAACAGGTGTGTGATCGAAGGGACAACAGGAATATGCTATTAAATGCACACACAAAAAAAGACAAAATGAATCGTTTTCACTGCCCTTTCTTTTACTGCCACACTCCCGGGTTTCCACCCCCGCTAGGTGGCGGTAGAGCTATATCGCTCTGTTGAGTTCCGCCGTCTTTGTGCAGTCGAGGAAGCCACGATGGCCACCACCATGAAGGGACATGTAGTAAGTGGAAATTAAAAGAAATTCTGTTTAGATTTCCAGGCGCTCTGTGGCTGTTTGACCAGGTTATTTCAATAAAAAAACAACCGTGGTGTATGCGGAGGAAGAAACGGGCTCTAATGGCTGCTGCCAGTGATATTTAGAGAGCTGGTCACACCCTCGTGTAGCTGATAGTAGTTAGCTTCCGTTAAGTAGCAGCATTTAGCGTTATATGTCTCCTGTGAGTGAAGTGGCAGAGACTCCAGAGACTGTAGCAGCCGAATGAGGGCGATAACTAACCAAACAGAGGCAGTGGTGGTCGGTAACGGTGGCGGGACGCTGTCTGCTCGCTCACTTGACCATTCATGTTTAGTGAGACGACAGGGTTTTGCTGTGTAAAGGTGTGCAACTACTGTTCAACCCAGGTGTTTTGAACTCTCCTCCTGTTCGCAGGCTGTTGAAGACGTGAATGTCACCTTTGAAGACCAACAGAAGATCAATAAATTCGCCAGGAACACGAGCCGGATGACCGAGCTGAAGAATGAAATCGAGTCGAAGAAAGTGAGTTGTGTCCGCTCAGAGTTCACTGTGTGCTCAGCCACAAGCATACGGAAGAAGTAGTGTGTGTGTGTGTGTGTGTGTGTGTGTGTGGTGCTGATGAATGTCAACACACACACACACAC